CCCATGTTTCATTAAAAAAATACCATTCTTGATAATGTGATTAACATTTCATTTTATATTAATCATCATTCAATTTCTTTTGGAGCATATCTACGTCTATATTCTACATAAGTCATACACAATTACAAGACAAATAAAATATGACTTTATAGAGTAAAACACTCAATTATTTCAACAGAAACTTAAGGTAATATAATGTGTCATTAGAAATAATTAATGACTTGACACTATTGATGATGTGAAATGCAATGCGATGATTTATTTTGAGACCCAAATGCGATTAATTTTGGAAACTGATTTTGATTTTAACTAAAATAGCTAAAATAGTAGATGTTTATGTTAGAATTTGGATGTGACCCGAATTCATTGTTAAAATAATTGAAAAATTCTAATTGAAGTGTACGTAAGAAGAATTCAGTTTGGAATATTATTGGAGTCCTATGTCAAGTTGAAATTCTATTTTGGAAACCCATTGGGAGTTAGAATTTGTTTTGCACTCAATTTTTTGGTATCATATTTCATCAACAACTCTACTAAGGGAGTTTGGATGTCCCCTACATATTCCCTATAAATATTAGGCTCTTCTGTACAATTTTATAGTGTGAGAAAATAGATTACTAGAATTATATGATCTATTGTAATTTTTCTCTCTTCTCTATTATTTTTAAGTCAATAAAATCTCTTAATTCATCTGTCATATTCTTGTCTTTATTATTCTTTTGTTTGATCATATATTTCATTATTATTTGTCATATAACTTAAACATCTCAATCCGGTGATTTGTTTCACAACAATTTGTATCAGAATTATTCTAGTATCTTGTTTGTTTTACAACATTATCTATAGCACAATGAAATAACAAAAGACAGCGCTTCAGAATGAGGGGCCCTCCGAAGGACTAGTTTTCAGCTCCTTACCTACCCTTATATTTAATTTAAGAAAAAGAGTCAAAATTCCCTACTCGGATTAAGGAAAATCCAGTGCGGTGCTTGATAAGCTTTCGAAGCCCGCCTGATGTGCTACTAGCTAGAAGCAGCCAAACAAGAAAGCTGACCAAAAGACTATTCCATAACCGACTCTTGTTGCCGAATGATCCGGCACTCTTCTTGCTTCTTCTGGCTGATCCGACTAAGTGATTCTTCCATCAAGAAACAAGAAAGTGAGATGCTCAACATGTGACCTTATTCTTTTGTCCATCAAAAACCAATGAAGTTATCTCAATCTCAAATTATCAAAATATCTATCCACAGATGACGCATGTGTGAAAGAGAGAGGGTAAGTAGAAATGACAGAATACTGTGTAACAGGAGGCACAATTCAAACCTGCTTATCTAATTAAGTCCCTTTTCGAAAAGTGTCATACGATAAGGAGTGCTGTACAATCGTCCGGAACTAGAGTCTTATTTCTTAATCAGTGGAAAGTAACATTCGTAGCATATTTGCTCGATAAGGAGTGCTGTACAAGATCGTCCGGAACTAAAGTCTTATATCTTAATCAGTGAAAAGTAACATTAGTAGCATATTGCTCTGTTAGTGTAAACCCAGTTTCCTTTGCTTCAACTGCAAAGAATGAATTTCCTTATGGCTAGTTGCTTCAGGTAAAGTAGTTCATAATGTACATATTTAGGGAAAATGACTATTTTACAATTATTTTAGGAAGGAGATTTTACTTTTTTTTCGAGCACAAAAAGACACAAATAAGCTAAGATATAGCCAACCCTCACTGCTATACATGTACCATGTTGAGAATATAGTCGATTATAGATATCTTCTTGAGTATTCACCTAAGCATTTAATGGCTATAAAACTTCGGCAGAGAGGTAGTTAAAAGAAGGGTTTACCTATTTAATTTTGTTCTATTATAGGCAGATGAAGAAAGGATATGAGCATACATCATGAGATAGGAAAGTTTTACATGAAATATATTCCTTGAGGGAGACACAAGGCTAAAAAGATCTCTTAATTCTGTTGAGTTTTAACTTTAAATTACCCTTTTTATCATCTAGCAGCTTCAATTTCAAACTTTGTAGCACCTCATGTATTCACCTAGTCGCCCTTCGAGAGCCTTTTGCATACTTTCAAGTTTCAATTATTTGATTCCATCAGAAGATGAATAACCAAGCAGATGAAAGCAAATTATTGCAGAAATAATTATTCATGCATAAATGTACAATCCATCCCAAGACCAAATAAGCTCAGCACACACAGCTCATATTGAACTACCATTTCGATGAATTCATTACACTGGAACTTGAAAAGTTTACTGCATAAAATAACCATGCATTGCATGCACATCTGGATAAAAGGATGAATTGAGCTAACAAGAGAAGTAACTGAATGGAAGTGAAACCCTCCTAGCTTAATTATGTGTCTCAACATATCCAAGCACCAAATTATATAAGTTTAAGTATGTAAGATAAACAAATCATCCTCGAATCATTTAACAGTATAGCACCTGCATACTTATCTGCTAATTTCCATTACAGCGACAAGAAAACCAACCACTTTTCACCTAATCAGTGAAAAAAGGAAAAAGAAACTAGGATTTGGGAAATATATAAGAGAAAGAAAAGCCGAGATTGAATTACTGGTCATAACTGTTTTTTAATGATTCGATATATATATTGTACCTGAAGTGGTAATGGAAATCTGTTATTAACTAGTTAAATGGTATGCAACATGCTTGCAAAAGGTGCAAGTATTTAAACTTGTACGTACGCTAAGTTGCTTTTCATATTGTCGAGTTCCCTTGCCAAGCTTTCCAACGGAATTCACTTACTAAAATCATTCGTAAGCGTCTATACCGAACTGATTACTCCAAGAAACCATCTCCAAGCACTTCTCGAGAACCACCTTACTTTATTTTCTAGCTAAACACAGCATGAACAATATTGGAACAGTGAATATGGTTTAAAGCATGCAACACACCATAATACATCCAAAGGGGTACGAGTACTACGAACTTACAATGAATATTGCTATTCCAATGTTCGAAAATGAAATGCTATACATTATTCAAAACAATCGTGGAACAAAGATAACAGACATGAAAAAAACAAATAAGATACTGCGTATGAATTTAACATTAATAACTTAACAACAGTAGGTACCAAGCCACAATCAACAAGTTGTTATTCAACTCAAGCAATATACATGTGATTTCAAATATATATCCAATGTGTGAATTCCATAATTTGAAAAACTTGCCAAGTATAAAAAGGTTCTGCAAATTTTAATGTAAAAACTCGTGAAAAGAAGAACACATTTAGGAAATAGTCTTATTGCGATACAAGAGAGCTGAGTCTTATTCCGTTACACGAATGCTAAAGTCATCTAACTTGCTGAATTCGCCCAAGAGAAATCCATGATTGTTAATAATTTGCACACCATACAGCATCCCAAACTTGACAGACGGGTTGTCTGAAAGTGAAAATTTCTGTTCCGCATTTGAACCAACCTTGTTTTGCTCAAATACATCCTTCTTTATCGTGCTTACTTCATTTGGAGAATCCGGGGTATCAAATTCGATAACTGTAGGTGAAGAATCTTCAGAGGAATCCTCACAATCAATTCCCTGCCCAACGCTCTGTTTTTCATCAATTTCACGCTTCTTGTCCAGGTAAGCATTGAAGGCCTCTTCAGCAGTGTTGTAAGTCCCCAACCAAACCCGTTTCTTCTTGAAAGGTTCTCTGATTTCAGCACAGTATTTTCCCCATCTTCTCCTCCGCACCCCAATTAATTTTTCCATCCCGTTCTGATTAAGAACCCGAGAATTGAATTTCTTGATTCGTGCACGAATTTTTCCAGAACCCTTCTTGTCAAGAATTTTTTCCGGCTGAAGTATAATCTCATGAACCATCCTCTTCGATTTTTTTTCGGTTCCATCACCACCTTCATCTGATGAAGAATCGGTGGCATCAGGATCCGAGTATGAAAATCTAACCTTCCTTTGCAATGTTTTCATGGTTCCAATCCTTCTCCAGCCGAAATCCTCTCTTCAATTTTGGTAAATAATCTTTATTGCAAGAACCCGGAAAAACAAAGAATTGACGATGTTATGTAATATATCCGTTGTTTATATTGGTTAAACTGTTTAGGATAATGAAAAACAGAACTAGGAAGGGAGAACCCTAAAAGGCCAAGCCCACTAACAAATTTTACATTATACAGAGGGAATTTATCACTGCTTCGGATCACTTCGGACAAAAGTATCTGTACTTCGTAGATTCTCATATACTTTTGAAAATGCTTTTAGGAGTCTCCAATCTCGCCATTAGTACCATCCCATTTCTCAAAGCTTTCGTTTGGATTAACTCATGCCCCCAACCTTTTAATTGTGTACCTGGTATCCCAATGCGATAGAACCGTCTATTTAGACGGCAAGAGGACGCGCGATAGACATATCGTGAATGACATATGGGTATAACTCTCCAAAAATTATTTACCCATAATTTGCTTTTTACTTTGTAGAAATACTCAAATACATAATCTTCTTCTTAAATTTATGTTCATCACTAGGGCTATAAATAAATCGAATATGGACCGAATTTGTCCATATTTGATCTGATCTGATAATTCAACAGATATTCCATTGCTAAATTCATATTCGATTCGAAATATTTTGGAAAGATGAGATTTTCGATCTCAATACAAAATTTATTATAATATATAATATTTTAGAATCGGATATGTTTGACATTTTTCATTAAAAGTCTTAAAATATAATACAAGTTTCAAAATTTAAAAAAAAATTGGGTGAAACAAATTATGCAATAATATATCAAATATATTATATTATTACAACAAATCGGATCGGGTTGTTATCGAATCAGATTTACATATATCTATATTTACTCCATTTAGTCAACAAATTATCCAATTCAAATCTTGATTGAATTATCAGACTGAGATCCTAAATCTATCTCTCATTAATTTCATCCCATTCGGATCAAAATCCAATTCAATCACAATCCTAGCGTCAAGAAAGTCTTCAAAGTGGAGAAAAATATTTTTGCACTATTTTATGCATTAGTCATTGTCATGTGTCCATCGTGTGCACCTTTATCATCTAAGCCCCCGTTTGATCCACATTCTACAAAAATTCATTCTTTCGAAACATATTTTCAAACGCATATTTTTCAATAAAATAATATTTTTATCACATCCAAAACGTTTCTTTATTTTTTAATAATACATTCTCCATCAATCTACTATTTCAAAATACATTCTTCCAAAATAATGTGGCTCAGACATGCCCTAAATATATGGTTTTCATCAAGATAGGTTATCGCATGTATAATTTTAAAAGATTGAAAATATGAGATGGCACAAACGCAAATGTTTGGGTCCCGTAAATGAATTTATTATATTCCTATAGATTTCGGTAGTTTCTTTTAATCTTTTTAAAAATTTGAAGTTCTAATTACATTTTTTCCTTTTTTTATTGTAAATATTTCCCATTTCCCTATACAATAAAAGAGACACTTTTACACTACCTAATTGTTGTGGCATAAGTCTTAAAATATAATACAAGTTTGAAAATTTAAAAAAATTGTGTGAAACAAATTATGCAATAATATATCAAATATATTATATTATTACAACAAATCGGATCAGGTTGTTATCGAATCAGATTTACATATATCTATATTTACTCCATTTAGTCAACAAATTATCCGATTCAAATCTTGATTGAATTATCAGACTGGGATCCTAAATCTATCTCTCATTAATTTCATCCAATTCGGATCAAAATCCAATTCATTCACAATCCTAGCGTCAAGAAAGTCTTCAAAGTGGAGAAAAATATTTTTGCACTATTTTATGCATTAGTCATTGTCATGTGTCCATCGTGTGCACCTTTATCATCTAAGCCCATGTTTGATCCACATTCTACAAAAATTCATTCTTTCAAAACACATTTTCAACCACATATTTCTCAATAAAATAATATTTTTATCACATCCAAAACGTTTCTTTATTTTTTTAACCACACATTCTCCATCGATCTACTATTTCAAAATACATTCTTCCAAAATAATGTGGCTCAAACATGCCTTAAATATATGATTTTCATCAAGATAGGTTATCGCATGTATAATTTTAAAAGATTGAAAATATGAGATGGCACAAACGCAAATGTTTGGGTCCCGTAAATGAATTTATTATATCCCTATAGATTTCGGTAGTTTCTTTTAGTCTTTTTACAAATTTAAAATTCTACTTATATTTTTTCCTTTTTTTATTGTAAATATTTCCCATTTAATACATATAAGAGAAGGTTTAATACATATAAGAGAAGGTTTAAAACCAAGTTTTATCCTATTGACAAATTAGTTTATTTTTGTATGCGAGATTTTGGGATCCAAAGATGATAAGGTAATTCTATTGACAAATTACGGATTGATTATTACATATTTGATGTTGGTTGATGATTTTTGATCAATTGATTTTGTAAGCGTACGGATCGTGACAAATAATAAAATGAATTTTGAGTTCAAATATCGTACCCACAGTGACTAAGTATTTATTATTAGTTTTATTCTAGCTTCAATCTAAATTTATTTAGTAACTAATTTAATCTAATTTAACAAGTTTCAGGAGAACTTTTTGGGATTCGGTGGTTAGAAATTTTGATTTCGCTTAGATTACTTAACATTCATCTAATTCAATTTCATGTTGCCCCTTTTCATAAGTATTAACAATCAAATTAATCAATTTTAGTTAGCAACATATTTACATACTCGGATTTACTATATTTCTATGTAAATTCATACATATTCAAAAGCATTTAATTTTAATAATTCAATTATGATTGCACAAGTTGAAAACGTATCTTTAGATATCTTATCGGTACTTACGTAGTTATTGTACGAGACAGATAAATATATCTCATTCGATCTCAATATCATCCTTAAAACATTTAATTGATGGTCGAGCAATTGAAAGTCAGTTAAACATGTAATAAACGAATAATATATAATCAAATTGGCATGAAATCTATTGAATAAAATAAATATTAACCAATTAATCCAAATCAACTTGGATTGCTTTGGTTGGTGCACTTTTTTTTTTTATTTTATTGGAATGGTGAAATGAAAATCCAATATGATATGCTTGGTTACAAGTTGGTTTGAAAATCATATCCACCTCTACACATTGGTAATGTTAGTGCGGCAGTGCCAAGTTTAGAATAATAAGGACTGAATATGCAGAGGGCCTATACGTTAGGGACTATTTGTATCAATTTGTCTTCTACAAATGCAAATGTAAATTACAAATTGAAAATGTTAGTTCCACCATGTTTCCTTTTACGCCTAAACGGAAAATGTTAGTTCCCTAGATGACAGGTGGGTAAGAATAGGCTGGGCAGCCCGCACGAGGCCGTACTGTAGGCCGGCTTACCCTTGGAGTTGGGTGACTTGGGTCGTACCAGGCCTTAGGTCTGCCAAGCTCTTCTCGAAATAAGAAAGTAAAACGGGCCAAAGTTTTGAAAGTCCAACTTGCATAGACTTGAGGAAATTAATTTTCTGAAAAGAATTTGAAACGGCAAAATTCATAACTACAAAAATTTCAAAATATACAATTTTAAAAATAATAAACTTGTAAAAAAAAAATTAAAAATCGGGTGGTTACATTTGTGACCTTTGATAACGTGTTGTAACTTATAATTTAATTGAACAAGTCACGATCACAATAAACATAAAATTTATTGTCATAATCACAAAATTCACACAAGATCACAGTTGCATAAAGTCACAAGATACACAATTAAATTGGTCAGTCACTACTCATCTCATCTCATCCCCACCCTAGAATTTCAAATAATACATATGACTTTAAACAGACAAAAGGGGAAGTAGTGTCTGCAATGTAATACATAATGATTTCTCGACCCCACCGCACCATCGCTAACAATCAGCCCAGTGCCATTGCCAACAACAATACCACCCACACTACAACATTATTGAATAACAGCTATCGTGGGTTTGCTTCATTTGCAGCATTGATAGAGCGGCAGCAAATGTCGCCAACTGTTGCCACTTCCTCTTCCTCACCTTATCTCTACCACCAACGCCACACAACCACCACCCTTACTCATATACTAACCTTTTTTCCACCCCCAAACCCAGGGGTGGATCCATCATTCGGCGAGTTGGAGCAACGGTCCAAAAATCAAAGAAAGCTGCTCATTTTGAATAATGTTATTTATAATTATGATTATAATTCATTTTTTTATCGTTGCACAATGCAACAGTCCAAAAATCAAAGAAAGCTGCAACCTTTTCTCTCATATGTGTCAAACCAAAACTGACCAAAAATCAATTTTTCCTTTTCACAATCTGCACCAGACAGCCCCTAAATATATATAATCGTTAGTGCATTAGTGTTACATGATTGGCGATGTAGCTCAAATGTTTGAGCGCTCACTCTCCATACAAGGTGAATGGGGTTCGATTCCTTTCACATTCATTCTTTCTTTTAATGTTTTAACAAATAATAAATAAATAAAAACTGTACCAATTTTTAACCAAGAAAGAATATTTCTTATATTGTGAAGTACTTGTTTTGGATTCAAAAGACTTTGGGTTTGATTCCAATCACCTCATCTCCTTCTTTTATTCTTTTTTAACAAATGAAATTTTAAAAACTAAACTATTATATATTATTATTTTTCGTTTTCGAAATATCTTTTTAAAGAAATTTATTGACTCAAATTATTATTTCCTAATATATATTTTTATTATTAGATTTTATCAATTTATTTTGTAAAATTAAATTTGGACAATTTAAGTACTATTTTTTCTTTTAAGAGTTTGAAAAACATTAAGTCAAAAATAGTTCTAAAAATTATTATTTTAAATTTTTTGCGTAAATTACGCCTAAACTTGAAGTTTGTCTTTTCCGTTTAATCTTGTTTTAAGTATACATTTCATCTTGTTTCGTTTAAATTCGTAAAAATTT